TATATTTACCTATATGGTAAACTTTTCTACAAAATGGATATCTATTATCTATTCGATCCACGTGGATTAAAAAAAAAAGTATTGATATTAATAAGTATTTTAATATATTAATTAGGATAAATTATGGACCTTTCCTTAATGTTAGTCAAAGATTAGTCAAAGGCAATTACAAATACGATAAACCTCATTTATAGCACTTTAATACGATACAATTTTTTATTACATAAACGTGTCGTTATGAGATCATAATTTCAAAACCATAATCAATACAATATATACATAATTATGCATTAATTGTATACTTGCTGATTTATTAATTACTAGCAAACAAACATTGCCATTAATTAGGATGCATACATGTTACTATTAAAAAGTTGTTTACATATACAATGGTAGCAATTCTTTTGAACAAAATAAACTAAATTTAAGTTAGGTTCTGTAAAACACTTTCAATTGTGAAAATATATAAGTTAAAATAAGTCAACTTATTAACAAATAAATTATACAGGAGTATAATTATGATCATTTAATTATATATAAACTATGAAATAACGTTAAAATAAAACCAAATTTAAGTTAGAAAATTTTAGGTTACTACAGAACTGGCAACAGTGTAATATTAATTTTAAATTGTAATAAAATTTACTACAATATTAAAAAATAAAAATCGACAATTCACTGGGAATAACTGTATAGCGTACATTAATTTCAATCGAATACATTTTTCAATTAACATCGGCATCACATCAACATCTTGTTATTACAAACACCTTCGTGGACATTAATGCGGGTTTTTTTTTAATCAGCTAAACACGTTACTGCTTATACTATTTTAATCAATATATCTACAGTTTGTTCACTTTTATTAAAATAAACAAGAAAATGTTAATAAATAAAGAAATAAATATTAAATTAATAAATTTATTATAGTACTCGTAAGAAAGGAAATAATAATTGTAAGTCGTTTATGTTTGAATATGAATAACATGCAAGACTTAGGTATATTTACTACTGATAAAAAAAATCCTGTAAACGTTATAATGAATATTATAATAACATAATAAAGTTATTCCTAAAGAACAATTCAGGTGCTTGCGTGTAGACATTGCAATAAAAAAATAAGTTAAGCCATAATAAAACAACAAATACTGTGTAAACTCTTTATATCGAAACTATTGGACTCACTTTTTTTATTGTTTGATTGTAAAAGAAATAAAACAACCAAATTTACAATAATTTTTATATGTTTTTGATATATTAGTGTATTCGGTTCGATACCATCAATACCAAGAATACAAAGTCAAGGCAGTTAGAAGGCGAGATGGCTGTTTACTACTTAAGAAGTCAATTATAAATATTGCTGTATCGTTCACCCCTCTTCCTTGTCACAGTTTGTCCATACAAATTCTACTAAAATTTCTAATGTCACAATTCGTATCCCTCCCCCCCCTGACGTGTGACGTAATTAATGGTTGAACCCTAAACGGTTTAACAACGTGTGGATTCTAACGTAAATCAAATAAATTTCTTTTTATCGTTATAAATAATTATATTAAGTCTTCACACTGCAGATTACTGGGTTCGATTTGCCGCAATTGACTTTGAATCGTCATATTAAAGTAAAAAATCGAGTATACAAATTTTTAAATAATTGCCATTTAAAAGGAATCACTTTACAATAAAACAAATCAACAACAACTGTGTATTCAAAATAAACCCTATATTTAATCAATACCTACTTAACAACAACGGTAACAAATCATAAACAATATAACAAAAAGGTTAAAAAAAATAAAATCTATAATTTCTACATAGTCCAAGCTCAATAGACAGAGAAGAGAGTGGTGTTCGGTTCGGTGTATGGAAAGTGACTTCACAGTCTAATTAAGTCACTTTACAATTAGACTTTTCTCTATAGAATAAAAAAAATGACAAAAAAGCAGTCCTTGCTGAGTTTCTTGGCGGTTCCTCTCAGTAAAGTTCTGCTGCCGTTGATTTGGGAACCAATGGTTGCTTTCCACATTCACAAGTCAAGTGAATGAGTAAATGATTTTGAATTTGAAATATCAGTGTTAGGTGTTCTCGTACTGGGTACACGTCAACTGCCTACTATAGCCAAGGCGCTAAGCTATCAAAATAAATTTAAAGAATAGGCAAAGCGATTGACAATTGCGTCTCAAAGACATCTTTTAACATCTTTCTTATTTTTGATACAAACGGAGACGTTGTAGAGATACTCGCTAGAGAAAGACGACTCTACTACCGGATGGATTCTTTGTGCGTAAGGTTCAGATATCTAGATCAAACTTTTTGTCGACAGAACCGTTTTGGAAAGCGAATGTTTACATGGCACCCTTAAAATAAAAGCTAATGTTATTAGCAGAGGTCGGAATTAGGTAGAGTTATTTATGTACTTGCATCGAAATGTTGATATTAATATGGACCTTCCCGGGATTTCTTTCTTTCATTGATGTAAGTTTGGCAACGTCGTGCGTGCAGTACTTTAAATTGTGTAAAAGTAAATAACTTTTTATTAAAAAAATCACGGGATTTTTTTCTGCTCTTTAAAATTAATCTTGGGATTTGAGGCATATCCACTTTATTTTTTCACTGTATGAAATCAGTGTAAGTACATGAATAACTCTACATAATTCCGATCACTGATTATTAGCGATCATCAGCCGATTGAGATCCACACTGGTGAGGCTGAGGTATTTCCTATCAATGAAGCCAATAATAGGCTCAAGATGAGGGGTTACAGATGCAGCCGTATTGCAGCGTCACCACTAACCAAACTATCCATTACCAAATCATTAGATCAATGTCAAGCTCAATCAATCGCACAATGCTTTACCCTATCAAGAAACGACGGAGCAATAACATTATTACATCATTTATAGCCTCAACTATACTAATAGTAAAACATTATATCTGAATGGCGCTCCATCGACCAGCAGAATTTTCTTTAACCATGTACGGCTTCAAATACTGACACCATGCCCCCGAGAATCGATTCACACAGGTCATATCTTGTGGAGATACCCACCAGGGACGACTGGTCAAACAATCGTATAGTATGGAAAAATGGAAGCCTAAAGTGGTACACTGACGGCTCCAAATCCGGTCCTGAGGTAGGATGTGGAATTCATGGAGAAGCCCCAAGGAAGGCTATAAGTCTGAACATGGGAAAGTACTCCTCAATATTCCAGGCAGAGGTGTACGCCATTTTGGAATGTGCGGCAGCCAATCTGCAAAATAACTACCTCAATCATACTATCTACATCCACTCTGATAGTCAAGCTGCACTCTTAGCACTAGCTTCCGACATAACTAGATCGAAGCTGGTCGAGAACTGCAAACAGACACTGAACTCTTTGGGCAACAACAACAAAGTAGTTCTACGATGGGTTCCAGGGCACGCTGGACACGAGGGCAATGAACAGGCGGACAAACTGGCGAAAAAGGGTGCTAAAGACGCCCTTATCGGACCAGAACCTTTCTGTGGCATCCCTCAAAGCCTAACCCAGCTCACCTTGAAAACTTACTGCCACTACGCAGCTATTCAACTATGGAGAAACACTCCCGGTATGAAACACTCTAAGACCCTGATTAAAACCTTCAACAAAAAGGCGGCATCAGAGGCCTTAAACTTAACCAAATCTCACCTTCGCACACTAGTACGAGCACTCACAGGGCATTGTGGACTGAACAGACACATGCACAATATGGGGATCAGCGACAGTAGAATGTGCAGAGGATGCAAGGAGGAAGAAGAAACACCTTTGCACATTTTGACCGATTGCCCGTTACTAATGCGAAAACGATGTATCTATCTGGGAAAGCACGTGATGCACCCAGACGATATTAAAGAACTTACGGCCAAGAAAATACTACAGTTCCTTGTAGAATGTAATCTTGACCGTGAACTGTAGTATGTGGAGATCACAATAGATCAGCAATGGTCGCAGTGATACTGGGCTGCATAAACCCAAGATAATCCGCAACTCGAAACAATACAATACAATACGGCTTCAAATAAAGACTTCATTTCTTTCCAACAAACAACTGACCAAAATATTTATAAAACTGCTATTTAGGTATACCCAACACCAACACAAAGCTTAACTGCGTGTCATATTGTCATTTTTTACAAAAGATGAGCCCCGTTCTACTAACTACAAGACTAGTTAAAAGATGGAGACTACCCGACATACAAAAACGTATATGACAATAATAAAATAATTCTTATAGAAGCAGTTCAATTTTTGCCGAAGACAACAAATATTATTATGACACCTATAAATAAATAAAATGACTAAAATCTTGCCCCGCAATTATAAGCTCTATAAAAACCACCCGAACAAAGGCATTGAAGACGATACTCTTATGTAAAACTATTGTAACATTATAAATGCGAAAGTAACTCTTGTCACATAGTATTTTCAGTCTAAACTAATGAATTCAATGAAATTTCGTACACAGTGAGAGTGGATCTTGGGAACAAATGTAGCATAGTTTTGATATCGAAAACAATGAATTACAGCGAGAGAAGCAGCGAGAAGAAAGTCTAGAATATAATAAAATAGTGTTTGTATGACGAGATGAGATGAAATGACGTTTCTCGAGTTCGTCATGTAACACGTGTTAGTTGTGAAATGAAAATGAATGGGTTACGAGTCGTAACTTACGACTTACGACATGCTTGTCTATGGGCAATCTTGTAGATTAATTTCGGGTAGCAGAATTAGATACCAGAGTTGTTCAAACTGCCCGTTATTAGCCAAGGATATTATCTGTTTATCAAATGCAAAAAGTGTCTGCATTTGAATATACACTTGAACAACCGTTTTCAATTGTTATGAAATTTATCAAGGCTACCATAGAATTGTACTTCATACGACATTTTAATTCAAATTAGATTAATTTTACAGAAATAAAATGTTGTTTATATTTGATTGACTGCCAATTTAAATATAGTAGCTAATATAATGTCTTTATAACATTTATTAATATTACACAAGAGTTTTAAGGATTATATTTGTCTACATTTTTTTCATGTACAATTTTACATGTACACACAGTTACCACAATATGTCAAATTTTCACAATTTAATTTTCAGTTCCACTCTCAACACATTAAGGTTTAAAATAAACTGTTGACCTTTGGCAGATTTGTATTTATTGTGTGTATGTCAGGTTGCCACAATATGTAAAATTTATGCAATCCATTTTAAACTCTACTCTCATAGCTTTAATGATTAAAATCGAATGAGAAATTTTATAGATTTGTATTACCTAATGTGCTATTAATTGTACATTTGATACATTAAATATAAGGGATTATGGGCCAGTTGCTCAAACGTCTATTAAAGTTTAATGTAAACTTTAAACTCTAATGAGTGTCAAATTTGTAGGGGTAATGTCGCTTTAAACTAATAACAATTTTAATGGATATTTGTGCAAGTGGCTGTATATCTGTTGTCATGATGGCAGAGCATTTTGGAGCTATTAAATTAGATTTACTTAATGGACAACTATTCATGTTCATCAGGGAATATAAATCATAGACGAAGTTATTATAAGTGTCACTCTACTCTGTAACACCAAAACCTCTTTGGTTATCCATTTTCGTCTATGATTCAGCGTTGTCACCATGCAATCCAGGGTGGTTGGTTCATTTTGTTGATAGGCTTATGTGTCATATTTACAGGTAGGTTAATAACAGCTGCTCGTCTATGCAATCTCTTCAGTGTACGAAGAATGGTGGCTCCACTTCGACCAAGGAGAAACGCTGCAGGGATGTTTACATCCAATTCCATCCTGGAATTTTAGAATAAAATAACATTACAAACCTGAAGTAAGTAAAGCACTAAGGTATAAAAGTAAGAATAACAACAATCTACTACAATCATCAAGCCAGACCCACAACAACATAAACAAATATTACCCAACAGTATCTATGAAGATACAGCTGATAACGGCAGTAGCTACACCACTGAAAATGATGCAGGTGGAAGAAAGCAAACAATTTCTTAGTGTTAATTATTTTTATGTAAGATCACAATACTGTGCAAAGTTAAGACAATAAGGAACTTGGTAGTGCAGTGGCTAGCATGCTTGGTCTGTGAACTGGTTTAATAGCTTAAAGTGCCTCCCAAGGAATGGAGATTCCCTGCATTAACAAAAAAGGCATGAAGTTGCTTGAGATACTAATTTTATTATCACCTATTCCATGACCGACCCTTCTGAAAATTGTTTAACAACAAGTGCAGTGTTTGTGTATTTAAATCAGTCGACTTTAATACTTACTTATCGTCAACCATCTCAATCAAATGATCCAGTGAATCATCTCCTTTATCAATAAATTCTGTAATAATTATTGCTCTTGCACCAGCTTGCTGTGCTTTAGCTGCCTTATAAACAAAAGAGCATTCTCTAAAAAAAATAAGAACAAGAGTTAATGTGACTTACATATTAAATTGTATCTCAACAAACTACACATCTAAAAATCTTGACATAAAGATTATTTTCAGTTAATCTTCTTATGCCTTACCCTCTTTCAGATAATGCAATGTGTCCTACAATATCTTCCTGATTCACTATGTCTGAGCAGCTGTGTAATGGAATTGTAGGTACTAACAGAGCTTCATGAAAAAATAAACTGTCATTCTGAAAAAAAAATACATTTATATCTAAAGAATAATGAGACCTTAAAATTTACAAACAATTATTTTGTTACAATAGATAGCAACTTGCCTCAAAAGTATTATTGCACATTAATAACAATACTTGACTTGTCTTACTAATATTACATTACTAATTTACTTGACGACTTTTGTTATTCAACTTACAAATGTTGCACCAAAATCCTTAGCTGGTCTAATACGATATGAATATCTTAGTTCAGGGGGGTCAACTATTTCAAAAAATACATCTCCTGATATAATATCAGCAGCAGAAGTCCCATCATAAAAATGTAAATCATTAGCTGCAATAAAATGTGAATAATTAAATTTTAGTCAATGAAATAATTATATTAAAAATATTTCTTCACATAACAATACCTTACCTCCAGGTAAAGCTGTTGGAGCTAAAATAAGGATTTGAAAACATGATAAAATTAATATCCGATGTTTGAGACACATTGAGAGGTCAATTGCGATACATTAATGTTGAAATTTTTATTTAGATGATTTCATGTAAAAAAGTACTCCTATTTTAAAAGGACCGCACACAAATCTGCCCGTTTAAAAATAAATATGGTTATCACTAATTTTCGTTTTAAAAGAAATTCAATTCTCTTGAATAATGTTAAATTTGTTGACCATGACGATGATGACTAAAAAATTAGGAAACTATAAAGGATCATAAAGCGTAATTTTATTCGTTAGATTTTATGGGTTTGTCATTCGCTCGCGGACATAGATAATACATAATACTGGTATAGATGCGCCACTTAAGAATAATTTTCATTTTAAGCGGACGCCATGGCCAAGAGATGGCGTTAGTTTCTATGCGAAGTTTTAAGCATGCTATTTAACCTGTTATAGTAACGACCAGTATTTCTAATAGATGGCTCTGATAACTATTTTTAAAATTTGGTTTATTAGGGATTATTAGTAACTCGCAAAACCAAAATTGTTCTCAAAGCAGAAAAACTTTTTATTTTATTCGAAAAAATTCTTCTCTAATAATCAATTTAGAGTTTTGTTGATATTAAATATTTTTTCAAAAAAATAAAAAGTTATTCTGTCCTAAGGAACAATTTAAGTTTTGCGGGTTACTACGTGTTTGCTTTCCAGTGTCGTCGATATGTGGATAAAATATAGTCAAAAAATCTTTATAGTATATTTTTCCCATATTTAATATTTTTTTATAAATTAAAGAGCAAATGTATAATTTTCTTTATACTATATTCCAAGCAAACCAGCAGTATAATTCAGTTAGCGTATTTTATTCATATAATTACAGATCATATAAAATTACATAATAAAATGTAACTAAACTATAAAGATAAAATAATCAAATTGATTTATTGGTAATAGTAGAAATCAGATAAACATTGGTCACTGTGATTTCTATTATTATTGGAAAAAATTAGACGATATTTCTTTCTCAAGCACCCGACTCTTTTTCTATAAATGATAATCTTAATTTATTCCATTACAGATATTACTATAAAAGTAATTCTCTCTCTTACTTAAGAAAATCAGGAATCAGAAATTTATGTTACCTACAGTAATCATTTTTTTAGGCTGTTTTTTTTTTCTTCATGTAAAATATATTCAATTTGTATGATTAAAATAATAAAGCTAATTAATTAAGTTTGCAAAATATTGACAGTTACTATTTCAGTTGATAAACTTAGGACGAAATAAACGGTGGTACGACGCACCGTTACAACCTTAAGAGTTTGAAAGTAGAGTTTAAAATGAACTAGAGAAATTTGACAGTTCATGGTACCCTGACGTGCAGTCGTGTGTACTTGAAAATACAAAAAGTCAGCCATAGATACTTAATATGATAAAATAGATAAACAATCTTAACACGTCTCGTAAAAATTGACTGAACAAATTTTGATGAGAATTAAACGTAAGAGAAAATACAAAGATTGAAGAATAATTAAATATTTACAATTTTTTTTTCATCAAGTAAGGAAGAAATTCTGACATCAACATAGAAGAATTACTGGGATGATATTTAGTAAGTTAACAAGTATATTATAATGGGACAAATTATCACACAAAAATCTTTACTTTAAAATGATAAATAAAAAGACCATGTTTATCTATCTTACACATTTGATAGAGAAATATTTAATTAACACTTTTTCTTACGATGTATTTTATTATAATTGAAAGCCTGTAATTTTATTTCATCATTACAATCAAAATCAACAATCTTCCCATTTAATAATCTATTGACACCAGTGCACCAACTATTAATGATTAAATTAATTGATAACGTAATGATATACTTAACCAACACCAATTTATGTTTTTGACAACTGATCATTGAAAAATCACATCGACAATCAATAAAGAAAATATTTTTTTTATCAATATCGGTCATTTGAGGTGTATCCCTTAAACATGCAATAATCATAAAATAAATTTCATTGAGAAGTTTAACAAAATCATCGCGTGCATATAATAAAGATTTCTTTGTATAATCAATTGCATAATTAAATGAATCAACATTCCTCTCAGATTCCAGTAAATCGACATTACATATTTCACATTTTTTATAAATATTTGTTTTACATTTTTTTATTATATAACCAGCAACATATCTTTTCGCCTCAACATGTATAATCGATTCACTTGATGTTATTTCATTAAAAGCAGTAATTAAAGAATCAATTTCGCATGCAAAATCAGTGTAGCAGGGAGAGTCACATTTTTCTAACAATAAAAATTTCAACGATTGCAATTGCTCATAATCATCTTTTTCACAATTAGCATTAATAGAATGGCTTGAATTTATGTTATTAATCAAAACTGTTTTAAATGCATTCATAAACTGCATGCACGTTGGATTGATATTTCTGATTCCATTACTTCTTATACAGCAAAAGAAATTTTCTAGGGGATCCTGGTTAAAATTTCTCATTATAATATTTTTTATTTTAAAATTTTTTCGTAAATAATTCCACAGTTCTATGATAGTATTTACATTATGTATCCAGTTCTGAACAGATGGGATTTTTTCATATTTGACAATTTTTGAACCATCTTTTTGTATAATATGTTTTTCAAATTGTATTGATTTTAAAATCGGGATTATTTCCTGGGTCCAGAACTGAATATGTGGGGAATTATTCTTAAGACACCCTTTAAGAACTTTTGCTGTATCACAGTAAGAGTGACCATTAAAAGAATCGAACAATTTGTCAAATATCAATAAAAGGTCTGCCGTATCTTCACATTCAGCAGGAAGCACATTGCGTCCTGAAAAAAAAAAAAATTATGTAGTAATTGCTGTAATAATATCACGAAAATGTAAGTGTGGCTAGAGTACCAATAGTTCTGTACAACAATTTTAAAACTTTATAAAAGCACTTTGAGTAGCTCGGTGGCGTAGTGGATAAGCGCCGCGGCCCGGTCGGTCACGGGATGGGAGACCAAAAAATTATTATCTCGAGCTACTCCGTGCTTCGGAAGGCACATTAAGCCGTTGGTCCCAGTTGCATTTGCAGTCGTTAATACCCTCCAATCCGCATTGGGCCAGCGTGGAAGGTCATGGCCCATGCTCCTTAACCATAAGGAAGGCCCCTGCAGTGGGGACGTATAAGGGCTGGTGATGATGATGATGATGATAAAGCATAAGCACTGTACATTGCTAAAATAGAAAGACAAGTAAATTATGTCCAAGTTCTTTCCCGGTATTTGTATGAATGATGGAGGTTATCAAATTATAAATAAATACAATTAAACTTACGTGCTAAAAATCCCATTACTGCTGACACTCTTTGGCTAAATATTTGGGCTGCATATTTAACCTTCATTTTTGGAATTTTTTCCTCATACACATGGTATTCGGTTAATTTATTCAAAATTCTTATTTCGTCTTAACCTGTGTCTTCATTCAAAAGCATTTTTAAATGTTCCCATTTGGCAATTTTTTGTTTCCCATTTTGTTGGAATTTTATATTTTTAGACAGAAAATTATTTCGAATTCCTTTCATAGATGGGGCGTGTCAAATAAAGGAAAAACTTTCAATTTGTCTATTTCGAAAGATTAGATTGGTACTCTATATTTTTTCGTAAATATTTCTCCCTTGTCTCTTTTTGGAACATTTTAATTGTGCTAACATTTGATGTTCCTTGATCGCAAATCGTGGCTACAATGATAATACCAGCTTCTTTTAGCTGTTTTATGGTATTAGTTATAATTGTTTTTAATTCGATATTCTTTGTTGCGCTTTTACAGAACGTAAATAAAATTGGTTGTTTCGTTTTGGATTTCACACCTTTAATCATCAACACCAAAACATGATCTGCAATATTTTTCGTTTTTTTTGTCCAAAATCTTCAAAACCGATGATTTCATGTTTATTAAAATATAATCCAGGCGATAATGCTACCTCATCAAACAAAAGTATGTAAAGTCTTTTTTCAATAGGTAGGTTGCTTACTATTTTTTTTAAATGACTCATAATTTTTGTGTTCAGCCCTGGCTTTATTTTTAATACCTTTAAAAGTCTTTGCAATGTTCTTTTAGATGGCAGTACTATTATTTTGCGTAAGAAATTGTATGCCTTATTGCTTTGTTTTAAAATGGAGGCAGCCATTACTTTTTCTTCTATCAAAAATTTCATACCTCTCGATTTTTTGTTGCCTTTTAGTTGCATATTCATGAAAACCTTAACAGTTTCAGGCATTGCTTCAACAATTTTTAAAAATGATTTTTTTTCTGATAATTTTTTTATCATTTTCATTTTAGTCTGCTGACTTTTACATTTCTTTGTTAATTTTAAAATTTTCTGAGACAACCTATGGATTATATTTTTTTGTTTTTTTCTTGTTTGTTCTGTAAACAAATAATTATTACACTTATTAGAGCTATGACAAAACAAAATTATAACTTAAACATTTTTTACTACCTTCTCGAATTCATCCATAACACATTCACTGGATTGTCAAAAAGACTAGCTTCTTACTAAGTGTTATTAATATAACTTTAGGGATAAAAATATTCTTAATGAAAAATGTATAGCATTGCAAATGCAAAATTGATCAAATATAATATTTAGGGAATTAGAGATGATTTACAAAGGTTTTATGTACATTTCCAACAATTATTAATAAATAGATGCTCACCTAAGCTTTTCAATTCAGTTTTAGATGAAAAAGTCAATGGTTCTGTTGGCGATTCTGTTATATTATGACTGCTTGTTGCAGATGAGGTTGACAGCCTTTCTTCAACTCTAGGATTAGTAGTATCTTCTGAAATAGTAAAATAATCATATTGTAAAAATTCATAGGCATAAACTACCTGATATATGTTCTGCACATTTCACAGAAAATACACAGTATTCTTTAATGGAAGACACACTCATGATAAAGAGCCAAAGTAATACATACTGCCACAGGTAAAAAAGGTAAAAACTAAAGGAATAGTTTTTATTTGTATACACAAATAGTAAATATATGAATGAACAAAAATATTAGAAATGTGTTTTTTCATTTTTATGTATGTTTTGTGTCTCGGTGTATTTTATCATCAAATT